CAGACCACACACACACACGGTGTAAAAATAAGATCCCTACTGCGCTTCTATTGCTGCAATGCCTTTTATGTTCAAAGAAATTATTTAGACTTGGGTTTTCTGGGACACTTTGTCAACAGAGGTCGCCAGTGCTTTGGCCTTCACCAGTTTGAATGAAAAAAACCCCCAAATCTATTTAAATTCAAGTCAGCTTTGACCAATATTGAGAAAAAAAAATCTTCTTCATCAAACAGATTTAAAAAGAAACTACTCTGACAGATTAATACTGATGGTTTATTGGTGAAGCTCATGAAGAAAAGTCATATATTTTGGAAAAAAAGAAAATGAAGCAAACAAATACCACTAAAAATGTCTAACAATATCTAAAAAATCTTTGCTATCTGAATAATATAGAATTTTCTTGCATTCATTTTTTTTTTATAATATCCACCTTATTTTGCGACGCAAAAATATGATACTTTCTATGAATAAGTGGAGTAAACACTAAACCTATTTGCACCACAAACAAGTGTGATTATGATTATGATAATACATAAAATAATCAATTTGCAATATCAAGCAGCATAACGAGCTGTTTTGTACAGCTAAAAATAACTGGAAGCAGATGACACCGGAAGTCTCGCACATTCAGTTTACAAATGATTAAAATAACTTAATACGAAAATCTTCATAGAATAGTTTGAAATAGGACCCACATACGTCCTAGACAGGGCTTCTGCGAGATTCACCGTTAAATGATTTAGATTGAACTAAATAAAACACAAAGTGTGTCAAACCATACAGCGATATTTTATTGCAACTATTTTACCAGAAAGGGGCAAAAATCACTTTAGAAAATTTTCTAAATTTAGTGATTTATGACCTTTTTCAATATTTTTGTCTTTAATCTCGTTTTGCTATGACTTTATTTTTAAAATATTAGTTTTAATCTCATATTGCTACAACTTTTGCATGATTGTGACTTTATTCTCAAAACATTATGAGTTTAATATCATTATCTTAGATTTATTTATTAATTATTTTTTTAACAATCTTGCCAAGATGCTATTTTATATAGTTTATATTCTTTATTAGATTTTTTCTTAAAGTTCAATAAACTGTTCTATTAAAAAAAACAAAAAAATAATTTTCTTACTATTATTTCATATGTCAGGCTTTACACAGTTTTATCTGAAATATGATAATTCAGCTCTGTTATGTATTGACTCATAGCACTGATTCATTCTGCCATCACAGAACAATGTTTGTCACTGAATGCGTAATGAATGATGTCCGTCTGCCGGGTATTTCTGGACTGAATCTTACTCATGAATCAACAGCTTGTGTGTGTGTGTGTGTGTGTGTTTGGAGCAGATCCTCCTCCAGCCTGTGTCTCTGGCAGAAGCTCTGAAGGATTTGATTTCTATTAGTCTGCGCTCAAATAAGTTTTCCATTGAACTTCAAGACGTCAATGTGAGCATCACAGAAAATTCATACATCACATATTCATGACAATCGTTATAGACAAATGCACATACACAATTAAATGACTGAATATACAACACACACACACTCACACACACACACACACACACAAATCATCAATATTTTGTCTTGTTTAAAAAAAATAAGATATCTTGTTGAATTAAAATAATAAAAATTTTTAATAATAAAGTGTGAAAAATACACTTATATTCAAGATATAGCCTCTGAAAAAAGTCTTTCATTCATTTTTCTTTATAAGTAAATTTGATCTTTTTGGTTTATTTGGTGTCATTTTGTTGTAATTCATCATGTTAACTATTAGCATTAACATTTTTTTTTTCAAAATTACATCTATTGTTTTAGCATTTCAAACCCGACAAACTTAATAATTGTGCTTCAAAATGTGTGCTTCTGCTGACACTTTGATGTTTTGTTTTACAGTATGATGACATGCACACATTTAAAGTGTGATCTAAGCGTTCAGACGGGGTGAATGTGAGTGCTGAATGACAGTAAAGTGTGTTGGTCTGATGATCAGCACCATGGACAGAGACTTCAGTGGAAATATGAAAACCAACAACAGTTCACTGGTGCTTCTGCTTGAGTCCAAATACCCACTAATATAGCATATTGCCAATGAAAATGGGTGAATCATAACCATGCATTGAAAACTAGAGGTTTAAAACTGTTTTCAGATTGTTAGCATATTGTTTTCTCATGTTGAAGCATAAAACTCAATTAATTTAAATGTATTGCCAACAGGACAAGACTAAACACTCAAAATATATTATCTTAAAACAAGCCTGAAATATCAGATGCCATTTTGCTTAACATTTTTATTGGAAAACTCCCCAATAAAATTGGCAAAAATACTGATTAAGAGGATCTTTTCTATATACATTCAGTATATTCTATATATATTTCTATAATAGTGATCACAGTAGAATCTTAAAATACACTGTAACACAAATACAGTGAGTCATTATGGACCGACTGCTGTGAGTCAGTCATGACATATTGATGACATATTGATGAGTCTGTCTTTGATGTCACCATATGATGATGGTAACGTCTCAAAAGATTCATTTTCGGAACAGAACAGTCGACATCTTTTCAAAGCTCTTACATCTGTTTCTATGTCGGACACCCCCACGGGACCCTGATTTTGTTCAGTTGGATGTTTTAGAGAAGAGCAGATGCTCCACACACCATCTGTTATTAAAGCAATGTGTTTCCCAAACCCTAATCTGTATCCAAACAAATATATTGCCACTGTAAATATACTGTACATATGAATGAATATTTGCTGAAAATGCACTCACTCTCAGGCCATCCGAGATGTAGATGAGTTTGTTTGTTCATCAGATTTGGAGAAATGTATCATTACATCACTTGTTCAGCAATGGATGCTCTGCAGTGAATGGGTGCCATCAGAATGAGAGTCCAAACAGCTGATAAAAACATCACAATAATCCACAAGTAATCCACACCACACCAGTCCATCAGTTAATGTCTTGTGAAGCCAAAAGATGCATGTTTGTACGAAACAAATCCATCATTAAGACATTTTTTACTTCAAATTGTTGCTTCCGCTAAAATCTATTATCCATAATGTTGCTTTCTCTATATAATGAAAAAGTCTTCTTGTCTGAATCAGGAGAGAAATCTGCACAGATCAAGCACTGTTTACAAGCCAAAACAGTCCAAAACAGCTCTAAAGAAATATGTTGGTGGATTTTGATGTGAGAGACAACAGGAGATGGACTTTTTCACTGGAGGAAGCGTTATTATGGATTATGGATTATTTTAGCCGGAAGTTAAAATGTCCTAATGATGGATTGGCTTCTTAAACACAGCTTTTCACTTCACAAGACATTAACTGATGGACTGGAGAGGTGTTGATTACTTGTGGATTATTGTGATGTTCTTATCAGCTGTCTGGACTCTCAATCTGACGGCACCCATTCACTGCAGAGCATCCATTGCTGAGCAAGTGATGTAATGATACATTTCTCCAAATCTGATGAAGAAACAAACTCATCTACATCTTGGATGGCCTGAGGGTGAGGACAATTTCAGCAAATACACATGCTGCTAAAATTGTGCAGGTAGCATGTTAACATGCTATTGTGTCATTCTCGGCATGTGTGACAGAAATCTGTTGCTGTGTGTCATCCAGCGTGTTGTAAACAGCATCTGGCAGCACTGCTTCCGGGATCAGTGAATGAGATCAGTCAGATCAGGCCTGTCAGACTGACTGATCCCATGCAGCGCAGCATTTGTCCGGTTTTCCCGTACGAATGAGTGAAGTCACCAGTGTGAGAGAGCACTGTTGATGTGACCATATGTTATGTTAAAACAGCGAGATCATGACCTAATCCTCCACTGCTATATATTACGCAATGATCCCGCAGTCCCGTCCTCATCCGAGTGTCACAATGAAAATACGAGGAGATTTAGCAAAGAATCAGACTTTTCCATTTCTGTCATCTAACTCTTTTCATGTCATGCTCTTCTGTGTGATCATGATCTCATCAGGCCAAAGCAACAGGAATCATTCCGTGAAAATCTTCTTTAATAAAATAAATAATCAAAAGTTTATTGGTTAAAAATAAACAAAGGAGAAAGATTTTTTTTTTTTAAACATTTGTTTAGCATTTTAAATGAGTTCACCCTTCGATATTGTCACAGACACAGTCAAAATGAATAGAGGAGGGAAACATTCTGGGGTGCAGAACAGAAAAAACAAATCTGAATGATTTTCTAATGTCTAAATATAAATCCAAAAGCAAAACGTGGAAATAACTCAACGGGGTGATCCTCTGCAGCCATCTACTGGTCACTAGTGCATATCATGCCATTTTCATTTTATAAGTGTTTGTTTTCAACCAGGCGGCAGAAATCTTCCACTTAATGGCACATTATCATTGAATTATCTACACGAATAAAAAAAAAAAAGATCTTCTTTAAAGTGAACTTTTCCATTTAGCTATACTGTTCCAATTTTGTGTAAATATGTACAAAATATGCAAATTTTTGAGGCAAAGAAATAAAAATAAAATATACATAAATCCCTCCAAAACGGCATAAGTCAAATGTGAGCAATCTGACCATCAGGAGTTAAGGGGGTGCTGCATCTTTGTCACTTTTTCACTCCTAAATGACTTGCAGAAAGTGTTCTGTGATGGTGTTAGGGAATAGAGTACAGGAAGGTGACAACACTGATCTTGCACACCCCTCAGCACCTTGTGGCAAACCTAGTGCTACCCCTCATTCTGCTCTTGCCTGTGTGCCAGATATGCGCTCATTGGCGCCCCCTCCAGCTGGTCGTGCCTAGTGGTGTTCAAAAACGCTGCTGTTCCGGATCAAACGAATGATGAATGATGCTCACACACATAAAATGCCCAAAATGTCATGCGTAAAATATATAATAATTAAGAAAATGCCACGTGTAATAATAAAAAAGCCCCAAATCCGGTGTGTTAATGTGAGGGAGGAGCGAGAGGAGGAGACATCAGTTAAACATCCCGGAGAGGATGACATGAATGAACAACACTGAGAGAGAGAGAGAGAGAGAGAGAGAGAGAGAGATTCTAAAAGGAGCGGACGCGCTCGCAGTGAGTCATTGGTGTTGACGATCTCGCGCAGGTTCCTTTATGACGTCCCAGGCGTGCGTTCAGCGTTCGGACTTCTGCGGAATCCTCGTCCAGCCTCTGGGACACTCGATATGAGCCGGATTACGGTGAGCACGAAGCGCGTGGCGTCCGGAGCCCCGATGGATCCGAGCGGACCGAGTCTCCGCTGATCCGCACAGCAGCAGCAGCAGCAGCAGCATCTCCTCCGCCGGACACGACATGGATGATTCGGGAATAATCAGGCGCAGGCGGCTCCAGGTCAGAGAGACATCCCTTTAGACACCATCACCATGTTTTCTGGACACGCACCAGGGTTATACTATGGTTTTTGTCCATGCATAGGGGAGATACCATGGTCAAGTATCTTGAAGTAACATGCATTTGAACAGGGACGGATTATGACTTGCAGAGGCCCCGGGGCCAATTATCTCCAAGGCCCCCCACCCCACCATACCAGTTTTTTTTCCGTTCTTTCCCTTAGCTGTGCATTCACAGTAACAGAAAGTGGAAGTTACGATCATGAATATTCAAACCGTTACTCCGCGTCAAATGCCTGCGCTATAAAAGCACATTGTACAGGGTTTACAGAATCAATATAGGACTAATACACTTTTCTGATATTTTTCTCTCTACAAGTCTAATAGCTACAATGAATAATCAACAATGCGGCAAACTGAGGCGTATGAAACACGTCTTTAATTAATTAACTGTCAAATATACACATATTTAATGCATCATGAATCAAAAAATGATTTGTCACTAAACAACTCTGTGACAAACATCACATGTAAAGTTTAAACATCAGATCATTACGTATAAGAAAATGCAATTAACAAAAACAATAACACACAATTACAAACATTTTTTGCAGGTCCTGACAATGCATCAAAACTGTTTCATTTATTATGTATTTCGGCAGAATTAACTGTTTGCTATTTATTTAATGAAGTATGAGTGACCCATGCTGGCGTTAAGTTGCACCTTTCATCTTTAATTTTGAGACCCCGACCTTTCCCCATCTAATAAACGCTTCTCATGCGGAGATATGTTGATGTGTGTGCGCGTCTGTGTGGAAGCCAACAGTTTCCGAAGTGAGGGTGGAAATATTACTGTATTTATTAGTTTTCTGTTTCAGGTATGATTCTGTAGCAATGTCCATATGTCCATCAGTTTACACTGTAATCATGCTTGCAAACTCACGCTGTGTCGTGAATCGATTTGTTTTAAAACGAAAAGATGGAAAAAAGATG